AGTCACGATGGGAGAGGCACAACAGCAAATAAATTGTGGCGCAAAATCCGAACTGGAAAAAATGTTGGGACAAATGACACGTCGTCGCCGTGGACCAAGTGACACGCTAAATGGGGCGTGTGCTGCCAATCGATTCCTACACGCGTCAACGATGATGACTTCAATCATAATTGCACGAGACATTTTCGAGGCACAACGTCAATTGGTCTTAATCTCAATTTTTTCGTGTTGTCATTCTCCCCACTACTCAGTTCATTCCAAGTGCGTCCCTCCCTCTTTGGTTCATCCCAGCAGTTTATGCTTTTCTTATTTATCATCGCTCCTGCCTTCTTGCTCCATGTGATTGAAAAACCAAAGCATTGGGAACAGATGGAATTCATAGAAATTGGGGATAAGTGATGGCAATTCTTCCATTGTATTCATGTAAATTTCTTTTCTGCTTCCTATCTCCTCCCTTTTCTTATTTGCTCGCATCATTCCAACTTTTGCTTTAGATAGTGGTGTTTTCCATTGGACATGTCAAGAGAGGTCTGTATGCCCAGAGCATGCGCTTCAGCTTCATGTCCACTTGCGTGCATAATTTTTCCAGCTTTTCCTAACTCGTGCGTGCAGCTGTTGAATGGAGAGAGAGGTAGATAAGGAACTAGTAAGTAGATGGACGGATGATAAAATTAACTGAGTCAAGAACACGACACCTTATCACAAAAATTGTTCTGATTTGACACATTATGTACAGGGATATCAAGTATCAGTATCGGTTCATACTCGCGCATTCAATTACTCATTTTTCTCCCTACTTCATTGCGTTTATGTACAGTTTACGCATGTAGTCCACCGAATGACGATAGTTAAGAAGTCTCCATTTCCTTTCATCTTTCTAAGTTACAATACTCAACAAGGGCTTTTTGGAGATTCACATGTACCTAATTTTCGGATCTTCTTCGATTGGCACCTCAAGTCACGATTTCGCCATTTCCACTGTTCGATACTTAGCAAAATAGTCCTCGCTTTGGTCAACGTCTGTAATGGATTATACTGTTGAACATGATGCATCCTCTAAACAACTGTTAGATCCCAAGAGGCGGCTGTCAATTGTGAATGTGTGCGAGGGAAGTTCTACATCTAAATTTAGTACTTTCTTGCCATCATTGTCTAGCATTTTATCCGCTTCTAGATGTTTTCGACCAAACATCACTTGATAAAAAATTGTTCGAGCTCAGTAGAAGGACTCACACCTTTTACTGGGATTAGGACTCCTTCACTGCCCTCACTGTCATTTAAGTGTGAAATATTGGGACAATTTTTGGATATCAACATTTCAGCACTCCCGCTAATAGGTCTGATCTAAAAATTCTTGCTTTTATCAATTAAGTAATGCGCAAAATTGGTGTGGTTCTTGCATTATCAATTTAGCGGCACGTACTTAAGCTCAACGTCGCAGTATAAAATACACAGTAATTAACATCTACACATTTCTCGTGTTGTACCAAAAGTACCGAAGGGTATTAGCGCTTTTGCATTTATTAGCTGGTCTGAGCTCAGTATATTTAGTTAAAATAAAACGTTTCCAGTTAGTGGATTTAGATGCAAATAATCTCACTATGAATTTAGGCTCATTTGGTCACATTTACAATGTGTATTATTTCAGATTAGGTCTGTTTTGTACGCATACGTAATTACTAACAAAAGAGCTTGCTATTGCAGCCATATGTGCTTTGTAAGTGAATGAAAGGTACAGGAGTTCCTTTCACAGTCACATCGCCTAGGCAATTACTTAGCTTCACAGTCTTCCAAAAGATGACCAAATGATACACAACGAATGCACTCACTTCGGTGTTACGTTTATCTACCTTGAGGGAGATTGTCAGAATTACCCATTCATCGTTCAAAGGTAGAACGCAATTGATGAATTGGGGGAGTGACAAACCGGCGCAATGTTGCTGTGACTTATCAGATCGGAATAGTTTGGTGAATGATCGGAAAGAAATCTCTGCATTATTATGATTTGACATGTGGACTGAGAGTCATTATTCGGATACATGGATTTTATATCACATAGAGATGCAAATATAGCTGTCACACGATAATGCGATTTTAGAGAATATGAAGGATAGTATGTACCCTTGTACCATTCACTCATGTGGACTTCACCCCACTAATTTTAGTACCACCAATCTCTGCTTCAACCGTCATCTCAGCCATCCGGCAAGATTCGATAAATACAAGTGACGCGTACTAACCTATCATGGGCTAATCTTGGTGACCTTTAAAGTACTGGAGCTGAAAAAGAGTGACCACAGGACCACCTGTGGCTTGACGCAAGGTCACACAGTCTCACACACGGGTTGACAACCAAGCGTGAATGACACAATATGAGCTTGACATTTAAGAAAGGGTGCTGGTGCTGAAAAATTGTGATGGCAGAAGCTATAAAATACCACTTTTAATTAATTGTATACATTACGGCATCCCCATCCAGAGTCTCAGAGAAGAACCGATTATCACATCCGAGAAGGCTTACTGGACCAAATAATGACTCTGCAGTTCAGGTGCTAAAAGTAGGTGGAGAAGAGGACACAGCGGGTAATCTGGTGTTCTAACCGCCTGAACTTCTATTTGAGAAAGCAGGCACCAAATTCTCAGAAAAATTGACAAATCGTAGTCTTAAGATCAAATATGCAAGGTACTTATTTCAAATTGCTTGCTGGTGGTGGAAATTCAGTTAAAATTAGCCATCAACAACGGTCTTCAATTGACTTTCTCCTAAACAAACTTTACTTCATTATTACTAATTAGCATGAAGTATAAGGAGATTTTTCTTTTCTGAATAAACAAATAGGTTCCAACATGCGCCATTTCATCTTAGTTAGTAAAATATTGACAGAAGTTTGTTTGAATATTAAACGCAAGCCTTATCCCAATTTTATTTGATTTATTTCATCGCTAAGTGTATGTGTACAAACACAAAAGGCTGCTAAATGCTTGCCCACACATAACCCGACATCAGCTTCTCAGCCAATCAAGTTGTTCCACGCATGGCATCTGACAAAACTGCTCCCTCCGATTGGCCTGTGACGTTAAGTGCGAGAGCCATGCCTCTCATTACACCATTAGAGAACCACCGCATCTTACTT